CAGTTGTTAAATTCGCTGTCAGGCTTCACAGTTATATTTGTGCATGATCTAAAACGAAAGCGACGGAGAAAGGTCTTTCGCCAACTTAAACTGTGCCAAATAGTAGCACTATGTAGCGTAAAAACTCTTAAGATATCTCCGATTTTATTAAGTCATCTGATTTTTTTATCAACTCATTCACATTTTCCCACATATTTGCAACATTGCTCAAAGATTTGGGCTCGATGCCACCAAGTGAAAATGAACGACTGATTTTCATGTACCTGAATTACATCACCGAAGAATCAGATACGCAGTAAATTGTAATAACAGGTAAAACCAAGTTTGAAAATTTTACTTTCCTAAAGGACTGAGACAAAACTCATCACTCAGAAATAAGCCTATGATTTTCAACTACGAGATTTGAAATCCTGTTTTATTTGCTTATTCTAGACTGTCATTCCTTCCGGTCCTTCTCTCGTTTACTCTGCGTTAAAGACTTTTTCTTGTTTCAATCTTTCTACCACGTAAAAAGAACTAAGCATTTTTTGCCACAGTCGTTTAGTTTGTTTTACTCATTGGCGTTGTGAAATGCTTTCTTCTTGGACAGCCTCAAAGGCAACACTCTGGCGCATAAGACTAATTTTCAAGGAGCCAACTTTCCCATCGACGGGCCTGTCATGAGAAGACACTTGGCTGGGAACCAACCTCGGAGAAAATGACTCCTTGTGATGTCAAGGGAGACACTATCATGTACCTTTTAGTCGAAGGAGGAAAATGCTGAAATGTCGATATGAAAACAATTACAGGTAATTTAGTTCGCTTTGTCTGCTTTGTTCAGACATGTATCTAACTCATTCTTCATGAGTGAGCCCTTATTTGATATCTGAGGTTGAACGGTGGAGAAGTTCAAAATGTATTTCAACCAGTAAGATCGAAACTGCAAAGAAAAATGGATGTTACAAATCGAAATGAGAATCCCATTTACGGTACTGGGTTAATTGAAATGTATCCAAAATTTCTTGGAATGATTTAATCACGAACGGTAGCAGTCGTGTCGTGTTGCATGTATTTTCATAGATTGAAAAATTGAAAGATTATTGAATGAAATCACGGCAGCTGAATAAACCATGTTGTTTTCTCTGTATTGAATTACATTAACAAAATGATTGGGTTAATGACGAGAAAAGCATGGCCAGCTTCTTTGCTGTAAGTATTTTGAAGTAACATAATTTGTTACCTTCCAGATCAATTCGTTCAGCGTATAATCTTTGAACTTTTTCTTTTCTTACTGTTAACTTCTTAGTCATACATGATACATCATGGGAGGGAAATTTCATGAAAGTATTGTACTTTCTTGACATCAACCCTTTTCCCTTTGAAGTCTTGATCTGTTTTAGTTTGGTAAGTGTAGCTCTATGAGGTCGAACTGCCGCTTTTTTGCTTGTCTGTTCTTCAAGAATTAAGGCATATGCGAACAAGTGGTAAAGCCGAATCCTGCATATTATTCCTATCACAAATGTAGACCTAAAACAGCCGTATTTACTCTTCCGATACAGACAGACACCTATCAAACCGCTAATTAGCATTATCGTATACACTATCGGGCAGTTTTTAACACCCACGACACCAACTACTAAGCCCTGTAGAGCGGTGCACCCCCGCCCCCTCCCCCCTTTAAATTTTAACAGTGATCAAGTACCGTTACTAAAAACTGACATGTCTTGGTGTCTTCTCAAGATATTTTCCCAATGAATTCAACTGGAAGGAATTCCTCATCCTTAGTGCTACAAGTGTTCTGTGTGTCCTTCACAACTTTTCTCCCGGTGTTCAGAGCAAACGTCATTTTTTTATTATTCAAGAACCTTTTATGTAAAAAAAACTTGCTTTTATACATGCAACTTGGGGTATCCTCAGACAAGCACACCCTTTTTTAGTAATAGATAACTTAGTTTATTTGTCATCTTTGATTACTACTGATCTTCAATTGCCATCCTCGACAATTGTTTCAGTGCTCGAATAAGTCTTTTTCAAAATTGCCACAATGGCTTTCTCTTCAGCCGGTTGGTTTGACTGTCACGCTTCCATTCGACTGTGACTAGCCTTTTTGCTTTCACTCTTCTTATTAAGCCAATACAATTCCTTGGAGTTTTATTCCAGGACATCGCGTTTGTCTTCTGACGTCACACAATTTCTCTTTCAGGAATCTGGCGTTGCGGGTACAGAAAGCGCAGAGCCTGGGAGCTGGTTTCTGACGAAAGCTGTCATGTGAAGTGGTCCTGTAATTTCTTTAATCGTAGCACCGGTGATGTTGGCCCCTCGTAGATTAGCATCTTGTAGGTCGCAGCCGGTTAAATTACAGTTCTACGAATAATATAATGTAAGATAAACTGTCAGATTGCAAAAAAACAAACTAAACAAGCCCGAAAAGAAGAGGGGGGGGGGGGGTAGGGTATGGAGAACAAATATTGCGCTCAGTGAACCTCAACAAAATATATGTAAAAAGTCGCTCGATCAACCGGAAGCAAGTAAATTGGCTTGACACGCGCGAGCGGTAAATCTCCAAAATAGGAGAAAAGTACACGGGAAGTCACGCACGCAGGAGACTCCTCGCGTGTCTTATTTCTCTCACGTTCCCGCCGACCGCTCCTTTTGACAGAATTATGCTCAATAAAAACGTTCCACGCAATAGGTTGATTTTTTTAAAATCTAATTTCTTAAGTTTTAGCCAACAAAATCTCACCTCTAGATCAGCTCCAGCCAGTACAGCTCCTCGCAATATGCAATTTTGAAGGTTTGCACCTTTTAAAGTAGCAACACGAAGGTTCACATTCCCTAATTGGCTTCCTTCCAGATCAGAATTCTTTAAGTTCACACCTGGAGAAGAAAATTATTCCATCAGTGAGTTATGTTATGAAGGGCTTTGTTGCATCACGATTCCATATTTTGCTTCTTCAGCCAAAAGTGCCGGATGAATTGATACAATGCACGAGATGTGAGGGCACCCGCGGACGAAACAGACAAAGGAAAATACTAATTTAAGCACCGGCAATCTTCATACCTTCTAGATTAGCCCTTGTACCAGCAGGGTCTTCAAAATTGCACCCTCTGAGGGAGGCCCCTTCCATATGAGCCCTCTGAAGACGAGTACAGCTTAAAATAGCACCCTTGATAATGGAACAAAGAATAAAAAAGATTACATTTCACTGGGTAAAGCCACTGAGTGGCACACAAAACATCTACGAAAGATGAAAACACCCAGCCTCCTTGAGAGAAAATTTACCGCGAATAGTGATTAAATCGCAAGTTTCTTGCTGACAAATCCTTGGCCTCCTTCGGTGATCGCTGTTCTAATTTTGCGGAATCAAATAAATGTGCCAAGACAATGACCACTTTTGAGCGAACTTGCCCATTACTTGCCATAAAATTAAAACCAACATTATAACATCACTCAATCAGAGCAAAGCTACTAAAACGTCATCACGCGCCAGTGAGAGCCAAAGCCGATGCTAGTAGTCATTCTGAGCGGGGGAAAGCTTGAACGGCCAAGTCACGCCTGCCACCATCTGATTGGTTGGGAAGATGGTGCTATTTTTTTCTGACCAATCAGAGTGCTGCTGCACAGAGGTAAATCAAAGCAAGTCCGGATTTTCTTCGACACCCGATTCATAAAATATTTTCACTATTTCATCATACCAAAATTATAACATATTTTTTTAATGAAAAGCGTAATTCTAATGACATATTTCTACGATTTAAAAGATTTGAAAAGTAAATAAACTTATCCTAATTGTGTACTCACGTCCATATGTGCCCCGGATAGGTTCGCTCTCTCCAAACAGCAGTTTGATAGATTGGCATTCCACAAGTCTGTTTTTCTTAGATTCGCCATTTTGAAGTTTATGAAACGTAGATCAAGCTTCGAGAGATCTGCCGAGTCTAAATTGATTCCCTACAGAGTAGAAAAGACAAGAATTCTTGGTATAATAAACAGCTCGTAAATCAGGAGAGAAAATCACTCAGTAAAAGTGGCTAAGTGTATTTATACTTGCCTGACAACGAAGCTCGCAGTTTGAGGGCGTTGATAAAAGTATTTTAACAAATTCACTCCGAGAAAGAGGAGCATCTTCAACGTTTTCCATAGCCTAGGGGATGTAAACAGAAAATGCTGGTCAATAAATATCTAATTAACAGCATAGTACCAAGTACCCTACAATAGAATTGGAGTAAGAAACATGTTTAGTGTCTAGTCAGTTGTAAACTGTGTTTTAATCCTGAACTGGTTGGAAACAGTTTACAATATGGAGGAAAGCCAGAAATAACGCGATCCATAGAAGTTCACCACCGAATACATACCATAAGAAATGTCATGATTAATTTATAATACAGTAATTGCTTATAGATTGGAGCCATAGACTGAGAATCACAGCCTGACAGATACGAGAGAGCTGTCAGGGGTACTTTAATTTCCAATTACTTTCTTGCACTATTTTGCTGCCTTTGCCTCTCTCTTTGCTCAACATTAGTATGCTTAAATCCCTGTTCTCCATATCCTATACCCCTTCTATCTTCAGTTAGTCTTTTGGCAGCTGTATTTGGCAGCCTCAGGTGATGTTATGGATATCCGTAAATGAACAAGCTGTGAACGCATATGAAATAAGACCAAAAATCTTTTCACTGTTTATACCTTTACCAACTCTTCTAACTGTTCTAAGATGCCTGAGATTCCGAAAAACTTTGCCTCTTCTAGGACACCTACATGTAGCATGAAAAAGACATAAAAAGAAATCTTAATGAAAGATCATTCACTATATTTCCCTTGTATGGAGACAGAATGACTGTGTGGTGCTGAGCTTGTTGGATTTGCACAAATCTGTTTATACAGGGTATTTATTCAGATATTTATTTCAATAGTTAGACAGACTGGCCCAGTTCAGCTTTAAAGTTGGTTTAAATGGGGACCTGTATAAACAGTGAAACTCATTATCACACTACCTTGAGGATTAACTCCCTTGTCTAGTATGAGCTGTCCATGTCGTAAATAATTGATGATTGGTTCAAAGTACACTGGACTTCTGTCGATGAGGAAAGCTCCTGAGGCATCTGAAACATTACTCCAAGCCTCTGCAAAGTAAGAGATAATTTTTAAATGTACATACTGTACTGTAAATCCTTAAACTCCCAGAAGTGATTGATAACATGAAACATCTTAAAATTTCCATTCATATATCCAGCAAACAGGTGATGAGAATATTCAGACTTATCAGGTGAAAGTCGTGATCCAGATCTAACACCAAATTCTTGTAGCTGATTTACAAGGGAATGTGTAGCAGCTAGAGGGGAAAATTTACAATAAAATCTTGAGAGTGAAAGGGTTAAGGAGTGACTGAATGAAAAACTAGAAATTGGCTGAGGTAGATTATAGTGGTCGACCAATAACTTCTGAGGTCAGACAACTATTTACCATAGATAACTAATGCAAAGTCAGGTGATTAAGATGACAAGGGGGTGATATATGCCATCCTCAGTTTTAAAAAGGATAGGATAACGCTATCCACAGGATAAGACTCTATCCAGTGGATAGCACAGTACACTTAACAAATAGATTCCAAGTTGCCGTGTGTCTGTTCAGTAATAGATCACAGATGATGTCAAAATGTGGTAAGAACAAAAAAGTGGCATGTGAGGCGCAGCCGAGTGTGTCACTGATGATCTTACCACATTTTGACGTCATCTGTGATCTATTACTGAACAGATGCATGGCAACTTGGAATCTATTTGTTTTATATAATAAAGAATTAAAAAAAGTTTTAATGATGATGTCATCTGTATGTCTGTCCTCCAATAGATCATAAGTGAGAACCAATCAGAATCCGTGCATAACTGAGCTTATTATATAAAAAGGTTAAGTTAACATTAGTCTCCTTGATAGAGATGTATCTGTTGGATAGCATTATCTGCCCTTTGAATTACTGAGACCTGATCTTTAGACTAACCTGCAGGGGAAAACATTCTTGCTAACATACTGTTTGGTTCATTCATCAGTGTTGCCCTTTACGGGATAAAAAAAGAAAATACATGGATAATAAAAAAATTAGAAAAAATAAGAAAAATGGTATAAAGTCAAGTAACTAATTATTTCTAAAGTCAAAGTTCTGGACTGGAAACCCATTTTGTGTTGTTATTTTGTTGTTACTTTTTTGTTTTAATTTATTCATATCAGCAGATTCAATAGACTTAGCTAACCTTTACAAATTTAGAATAGTTATTGTGACTGTACACCTTCATTATTTTCCTGGACAAGAAATCTGGATCAATGTGAGTATCTGAGAAACTGTGCACCTGCATGCACCCCTCCCCTCCTCTCCCCTCCCCTAACCCAACACGATGTTATCAGTTAACTGTTTTTGGGTTAGAGGAGGGGTAGGTGTACAGTTTCTCAGATGCTGACATTGATCCAAAAATCTGCACATCATGTTAATTACCTAGTTGTAGTGAATACTCTGCCTCCCACATTAAGCGTCACCCAGTCTGTGAAGGCTGAACAAAGAGCAGCACATTCAGTGAGTCTATTCACAGATAAACATAGTTGTTACATTGTGTTGTGGTTCAATTTTATCCTTGGTTCAAATTTTCTTTTGTTTTGTTTTGGGTATTGTAATGTATGATAATGAGTTTGAAACAAGGGAAAATAAAATTTGAACCACAACGCACATCACCAAGAGAATATCACTTTAAGGGCAAGCTGTAATTGGCTAACTTATTAAAGATGTGCAAGAACTATTTACACTGTACCTCTAGGTAGCCAAAATAACAAAATAATGCATCAAGAGTCATCCTAATAAGGACAGTCATAATGATGATGATAATAACAAAAATAATAATACTAATACTGATACAGATAACAATTTGTAATACTGATAATAATCACTCATAATACTGATAATAATAATTATGATAATGAAAATGAGAATAACAATGAAAAGGTTAGTGATGGTGATCTTGATAATAATAAAATTGTTATTAATTTATGGAATAAATTCAAGTAAGTTAGCAAAGTTGTTAATCAGTATATTTACAGCTTGTTTAAACCTTGAAAAGGGAGAATTCACTTCCACTTACATTTTTCACCAAGAGAATTTGGTTCTGGATCTTCAGATGAAATGTAAAGCACTTCATCATCTCTGAAAAGAAAATTGCTGAGTGTTATTTAAGAGTAAATAACTAGCATAATTACAAATAACCTACAGTTTTACATGTACAGCAAGTAAGTGTATCAGTTGACATGTACTGACATCTTCACCAAATAAAGGTGAGCTGTACATACATGAGATACCATCAGCATACTAGTATTCTCTTCAAAATATTACATCTTTGGCTTGGTCTTCAAATATAAATTGACTTTAAGGGCTCGTAAAACCTAAACTTCAAGGATCTGATAATACATTACATAATTCTCCCTTCCAGCTGACCTAGTTATATCACATCAAAATCACCATTGAACTAATAAGTTTGCTCATTGTCTGTCTGCATGATAAAGAACTAAATTTTTGAGGTGTGTGATAAACACTGTTAGTAACAATCGCAGAGCCATTAATTAATATGTGAGGTCACAAGCCATGGTGGAAGTTTTAGACAATTCCGTATCATCTTGGTCCATATTAAAAATTACCATACTAAGGTAAATTAAACTTGCTTCTTCCCACACCTGATTAAATCAATGTCATCTATCACACCCCCTTTGGCAGTGTAAACTTTAGTTGCCGCAGGGAGCCCAAGCTTGCGTTTTGCTATGATGATTAATTCATTGAGAGTTCGAGGAACAGCAACAACCTTTCAAAAGGGGAACAATCCATTAGAAAAATGATGCATGATAAATACATTGCAGTAAAAGTTTTGTGGTATCTTATTAAAACCATGTAAATATTACTTACAGTTGTACATCCATTTTTTACTGGAAAGAGTGTCATTAGAGTGTTAGCCCTTCATCATTTGCTCTGACGCAGGGTGAACGCTCAAAATGTCAGCTTTAAAACTCTTTACGGTGGCCAATTTACGTTATAAACTCAGTTGATAATACTTAATTATCCTGTTGTACTCTTACACCGACGCAGCACCACAATTTCTTTTAAGAAATTTACCCCCTTTGCACACAGTTACAACCAGAAAACAAGCACAGTGTATCCCCAACCCTTTTTAAATAACATCTTTGGTCATCTCCTTGGTATCCTTCACCGGTGTCCCTCAGGTTCCAGAACGGAAATCTTTATCAAGTTCTCTTTCCAGCAGGGAATCGAATTATCATAAATCGCGATCAATTAGAAGAAGTCCGCTTGCGGGTCGTTTTAGAAAAGAAAAAGTGATGATGAAGTCAGACGGAATATTGTGAAGATCACCTGGTATCACGTACGAATTATGCTCAAATCGCGCGCGCGATAATTTTCGAAACTTCATGTATCAATATTGGCGCATAGGCATAGAAACATTCATAGCCAAACCTTTCCTGAGTGAACCGTACATCCTTTGGCAAGCAATGTCACTCTTTTTTGAGCAACTTCTGGCATATTTCATCGGCTTTGAAAAAAAACCCAAAATCGGAACTTTCCTCTCTACGTTTAACAACATACTATGTTCGCGAAACATAAAACCTGCCAGGCGTGATCATTTGACTGTACGAGGTGGATTGAGTGCTCCTGGACGCTAGTGCCTAATCTTCCTCGATATATCTGACAGACCCATTCTTCCAGAGTGCGGAAACGAAAGCGGACAAATTAAAGAACTAAGATTTGTTGTCGTTGTGAAGATTTTTGTTAGAAACATGGGTAAACCAACTGGACATCTCTTGCGTCAACTGAGGTCTCTGATGAAGAATAAGCATCATTTACCTGAAGCGATTCAAGCTTACATCATCCCATCTGAAGATGCGCATCAGGTATAAGTACCACGGCACTAACTATTAACAGTAATCTCTACCGGCCTGTCTCAAGAGTATGGCAAGTGCACGCACGACTTTTTCCTTCCATACCAAACAGACTAGCCTTTGTACGCTCGAGATCTCTTAGAGTTCCGCCATACTTTGCAGACTGTGGTCTATTGATCGCTATACTTTTGTTCTTTAATCATATGTTTAATTAATGTGCACGCCTTTTTTTTTTAAGTGTCAGTAGGTTATCCTGCCAAAAGTAGATGTGGGTAAAAATACTGAGTTGTCAATAAGAACAGCTGGTTCGCTAAGGTCTGCCATCTTCAGCGAGTACAGAAGGAGGGGTAGACGCTATTCCCCACCCCACTCCCCACTGTCCAGTTTCTCTTTGGCCCTTACAAATTAGACCCTGTTCACGTGCTTATATGGCAATAATATGCATGCAGAAGTTGTGATTATATTGTAGCTGGCTTGCAGCTTAAAAATGACTTTGTATTTCTCAATTTGAAGAGGTTTGTTACCCTTTAAATACTTGCTTTGTTTGACTATTGTTACAATTAATAATAATAATAATAGTAATAATTATAATGATATTAATAATAATAATGACTTTATTACAGTATTTGTACTGAAAGGTGGCTCTTCATCTGTAAAAATTTGCATTAATATTAAAAAGTGATCATGATATGAATAAAAAGCTCTCACTATGTACAATATCAGGGCTGTTACTGCCAAAAAAGAAAATAAATAAATAAATAAAGTAATCTAGAATATATACAAATCAAGAAATCAAATGTGCATTTGCCCTATTTATAAGATACTTCCTCACTTTAGTTTTAAAATCACAAAAAACTACAGAGTTCCTTGCAGCAGAGGATAATGAAGTAAAAAAGGCACTGTCCTGGAAAGTACCTGACTCAAGGGGTACTTTTAACATTGTTTCTTTTGAGGATCTCAGCATCCGCAAATTGAATTATGAATGTCTAGCTTAAGATAGGATGGCCAGTCATTATTACAGAAGGCTTTAAAAAACTGTTAAGTAGTTAGTACTCTCTATTATTATTATTATTATTATATAAAGCTATTATTATTATTGTTATTATTATCAGTATCATTATTTTATTATTGATGAAATCATAATGATAAATTTTATTGCAGAAAGTGGTAAACAATTGAATAAAATACATAATCTATAATTTGAAAAAACTAAAAAGAAGTAGATTTAAAAAATTTAAAATATGTACTGGGCAAGTTTCTTATAAAAAACTCTCCCAACAAAACATCAGATAAAAAGGAAGGTAACATAGTACTGTTTGATTTGATTACAGAATAGCATTTGTTCAAGTTTTCACTTGTTCGAGTCAGATTTTTAAGGTTTGGATTCACCTGTTATTTGTTTAATTTTCTGATTTTTATAATTTGTATTGTACAGAATGAATATTTAGCATCATGTGACCTAAGAAGAGAATTTATCAGTGGCTTTAGTGGCTCAGCAGGTATGAATGTGTTTTTGTCTTCAAATGGACGAGGTAACTATTTACTATAACCATTTGTCTTCAAATGGATGAGGTAATTATTTTTTTTTTAATTACACTTTGATTTTGAACTTTCTGTAGGGACTGCAATTGTCACAGAAACTAAAGCAGCACTATGGACAGATGGGAGATATCATTTACAGGCAGAAAAACAACTGGATGTAAACTGGACGTTAATGAGGGATGGTGTGTAATTTTGTTGAAAAAGTTCTTGGAACCCTTTGAAGAGTACAATCTGTGACAAAATTAGCTACCATCCACCTGTCCTCTAGAAATTTTTTTGAGTAAAACCATCCATGAAACAGCAAAGGTTAAAGCTGATGTCAGATTTGAACCTTTTAACTCCCAACATCTTATTGTTAATTCTCTCCTCTTGCTGCTACAAATTTCCTTGTAAATTAGTAGAGTAAAGAATGTGGTGTTGGATCAAGATAACAACTTCAACCTGATAATTTTGAGTATTCTCATTACCCGTTTGCTGGATGATGTATGTATATTGAAGGGAGAACTTGCATGTTAATCACTTCTGGGATTTAAATGGTTAAGACAGGTATTTGACTGTTTCGTCAAAATTGAATGAAAGTGGCAAAGCTTTAGCCAGGAGAATACTGGAAATAAACCTTGCTATGTGACAATATCTGCTACTCACACACAATGTTGTGTACACTTGATGAATTTAAAAAGAAGAAAGTACAACCTTAATGAGGTGAAGAGAAGTCAAAGTAGGGCTAAATGGGATTAAAATTGGAATATTATTCTGAACAGAAAATGCAATTTTGGTGGCAAAGGATTAACTGTGCAGACTAGATACAACAAGATAGGGGACTATTTTATGCAACCATACACGATTTAGAAAAAGCTAGCATCCCTGTAAGCTGTAATATATGTTTCATTTAGTGGTACTTTTTGCCTAGCTCTGCCGACCTTCTCCAAAGGACCGGTATGTAATGTTGATGAGTGTTAACAATATAAGATGCAGCCAGCTAATTAAGTAATTTATCACTGATTTTTTCAGGGTTATCTGAAACTCCAACTCAGGAAGACTGGCTGATTCAGGTACAGAGCCATTATATTTACTTTTATGACATTATCATTGATAATTGACGAGATTATCAGGTGAGGTAATATTGCTTATTGCTTGTGTTATCTGTGAAAGTTGAAGGTTGAGGTAGATGATACTAACAAAGGCCCTAGTTTTAAGCTGATAATTTGGACAACCTTGCAAAAACCAATTCTGATATCATCATTCTGTTATTCATGATAAGAACTATTAACAGTTAGTTATTATCTCTATGTATGATGTCAATTATGAGTAATACTTTGGTGCAAGCTAGAGACCAATATATTCCAATGATCACTATCTGCTTTAGAGTTGAATTTGCTGGTCAGACCTAGAATTTAACTTTTAAATATATAATTACAGATTTTTTTCTTGTCTCCCATCAGGAATTACCCAGTGGATCAAAGATTGGTGTTGATCCATGGGTTATTACACATGGTGAGTTTATTTTTGGGATGAAACATAATAATTCTAAAATACTACTAAAGGATTCAAAGAGAGTCCAAAATGTGTGTTAAATATTGGCCTTGCTGAGCAGACTGGATAAAGCCCTGGTATAGTCAATGTGTTTTGTTCTTGTGCAGACACTTTTCTCTGATTTTACAGTGCCTGACTATCCATCCAGAAGTAAGAGATGTTATAGACTGAGGAAATTTGATATAAACATACAGTAGCTTCAAATTATTGTTTTAACGAAGTGCATACCTTTCTTATGTTTTATTAGGAAAATGGGCCAAAATGTCTCAGGTGAGCTTCATGGAAAGAGTTCCTACCATTACACAGCAGCAATGCATGCATAATGTAGGCATGGTGCCTTTTTGTTTTTAAACAGGAAATGGTACTGAAGGTGTCAATTATTGCTTGTTGTTTGTTGTTCATCTGTCGGGGTCAACGAAGACCATGTAGTCATCCAGGGGGAGGAGAGATCAACCATGGATGCCCAGGAGGCTGGCTATTCAATCCCAGCACTGAAGAGACAATAGTAGAGTGGGCAGGGGATGGTGGCTGCAGATGGTGGTTTTCTTGCTCTTGTCTTCTGAGTCAGCTCCTCAGCTGTGCAACATCTCCAGAAGGTTTCTGGAGAGTCAAAATTTTTTTCTAGGGTGTAGCAAGTTTTTTTTTAATAAATATAAGTCAATTATTTAAACTTTTTTTCATTATTTCTTGCACAGAGTCTGTCAGCAGCAGGACTGTTATTAGTATATGCAGAGAAGAATCTGGTTGATCTGGTGTGGGCAGATCACAATCGACCTGACCCACCCTTTGAGGGGTTGATGGTATTGGGCATCTCATTCACTGGTTAGTCAAAGCTGGTGTAAAAAATGTACAAGAACAGGAACATTCACTCTCTTCACCATTGTCTAGATTCTATGATGATTCATCTTGAGAATTAAATCACCTGCATAGACTAAGCTCCAGTTATAGCAGAGTCTAAACATGCATTTATGCCTCAAATTTATTTAAGCATCACTGTTCATTTAACCCCTTGACCTTAAAGAATGACTAGCATCTAATTTCTCCTTACAATATCACCCCTAAATCACACATAAAGGTCATGAAAATATAGGAAATGATCACCAACTAAGGAAGCACTTGATTGTTAAACAAATTCTCCTTGTCAGCACCTTAGGGAATGTGTAAAGGACAGTTTGGAGAATATGTATACTGATTTAAGCCAGAGCTAAGCAGTAAATATTTTGATGTGTACTTTAAAAGGGAATTACATTATTTCTTAAATTCAGGAAAAACCTGGCAAGAAAAAGTAAAACATGTGCGAGGAACAATGAAAAAGAGGAAGGCTGATGCACTAGTGGTGACTGCCCTGGATGAAATTGCATGTTAGTAATATTGTTACCAAAGCCCATTATATAATTTCAGTAAATGTCTCAGATATTGTAATGTTGAACAGCTATTACAAACAAGAAGTTTTATCATGTCAAGGGCTTCTGCTTACTTTTTCTTTAGGGTTGTTTAACTTGCGAGGCTCTGATGTGACTTTTAATCCTGTGTTCTTTGCTTATGCCATAATCACTCAAGATGAAGTAAGGTGAGTTTGCCAAAGTGGCAATGAAACCTTGCTGATTGGTAGAATGTTCAAATTGTCTAAATTTCTACTAGTGTTTGTCTGGGGCTACCTTGTTTGCATTAGTCAAATGAGCAATGGGGAAATGTACAATCAATCATAACTGACTGAGTGACGAAAATTATAGCCGGGTGAATAAGTCAAATATCCAGCAACTGAAGTCCTATTTAAAATTATTATTAAAGGATGCTATGGTCTCATCAACTAAGGTTGAACTGTCTAAAAATTGTAAAAAAACCTTGGCTGCTTGTTTTAAGTATGAGAAAGTTGAGGAAGAGTTTCAGTATCTTGATTAAATCACCGCTATAACAACTATTTTTGTCCTCAAAAAGTCCTTGAATTATGTTTGTGTGAAGTTGTCCAAACCATGACCAGTGTTCAGCTGTATGACCTAATGCAAGATACATCAAGTAATGACTCTGAATAAAAAAAATCCAGAATCTTAAATTTGTGAAAAAAAATTGGTGGCATTAGTGCAAAGGAACTCCAGCCTTCAGGCACTGTATGATTCCTTTAATAAGAGTAAAGCTTTGCAGTTGCTCCACTGTCTTCTTAGCTCAAACAAAACATCATTTTTTCTTTCTTTTTTCTCTTAAGAAAAGAATTGCACAGGAGAACCTGACTAAGAACTCAAAGTGTTTTATTGCTTGCAGTTTGTTTATTGATGATTCCAAACTTAACAAAGCTGTATCTAAACACCTCGGCTTGGACAGTGAAAACGACAACAATCAGACCAAAGTTACTGTATGTCCATATGAGGGAATATCAGATGCCGTCAAAGAAGCTGCTAATAGTGGAGCTAGGATTTGGGTATGGAAAAGAGCTTTTGATTTTGTCAAGCATTTTTCAAGGGTAAACTTTGATCACATGTTCCAATTAAGGTTGCCTGAGATTTTTCAGGGCTAAACTTTGATCAATGGTTCCTATTTTTTACTAGCTTCCATACCATCTCCTTGGTTTCTTCAGAGGGGGTCCAAATTATATGATGGTTTGCATATTTAACCCTTTTCACCCTAATATCAGTATGCATATTCTCCATACTGTTCTATGTACATTTCCTAAGATGCTGACAAGGAGAATTTGATCAATAATCAAGATCTTTAATTGGTGATCATTTCCTTTCTTCTCATGACCTTATTGTGTGATTTACAGGTGATATTGTAAGGAGAATTTAGATGCTAATAACTCCTAGTAATTGAAGGGTCAACAATTAGGTTATGAGCTGGAGATTTCCAACGCATAGCAGTCATAGGTATAACATTACTCTTCACCTCATGGTGTTACCTTCATGATAACGTGTTATCCTAATGCCTTGGCTGCTGTGTTTTTTGTAGATTAGTTTGTCATCCAGTGTTGCATTAGTGAGGCTTGTCCCTAAGGTAACAGAATGATATAATGTGACATAATTGAGTTGTATGCCTCTAGAGAAATGATGTCAGCTTAAAATTGTAACCGCCGAATCAACCGCTGTGCAGTGTGAAGTAATAGCCAGCTCATGAAATTGATCAAAATACTAAAGGAAGAAATTTATGGGAGGTGCTTTCCGCGAGATGTTAAGGGGAGGTTTCCACCCTTCAGAGACCATAGTAGCTGAAAAAACTTTACAATCCTTTGCGGGCCGTCTCAAGGATGTCTCGCAACAATCCTTTACCCAACACCCTTCCTTTGAGAGGAAGTTGTGAGAAATCCGAAGGAACGGGAAGTTAAAAAGTTCAAAACAAAACAACACATTGGGATTTCTTAATGGGATCATAAATCACTATCTGCCACCGACAGGCTTACCTCTGATGTCCGCTCAGAGATAGTTGATGTTATGTTATTAAACAGAGACGTATTTTAAACCAATTTTTGGGATGATTATTCCTCTACGTAAAACCAATTTAGCAATGGTTGAGTTTATTTGCTCACCTTCCCTTAATACCCACAGACTCAACTCATCTCTGATCCGTCGCCACTGGCTAGTAGCAAAGCAGTCAAGAATGCAGTGGAAATCGAGGGCATGCGTGAAGCTCATGTGAGTACACGACTCCATCAACTAGGGCGTGTTTTTATAGAGTCAGTTGACTGACAATGCAAGTTACGCTGTTTTGGATTAAGAAAAAAATTGGGATAGCCTCATCGAGACAGAAACCCATGTTTAGTTTTTCCCCAAGTTTACCAAAGAAGTAAACGCCAGTGTCATCGAGATTACCTTAATTTGTTCTTTTCCTAATGTTGCCCGTCTTTGTTAGGTAATGAATTAGACCATACACACTCTATACTAAGTGGAGTTAATTTCCATCACCCGCAATGCTGGTAGGATTTAAAAGAGAACTTTAATGTACACATACCACATGCCTTCAAAGGGCGTTCAAGTGCAATTCTTACAATTTTCAATTTAGTGTTGAGAATGGTTCGGATTGGCTATGATTTTGTTTTGGTTCACACTTTGATGGTCTTCTAACTGCTCTGCCACTCAGTCACGGTATTAGATGTGTGCAAGAGACTTATGACCTCTTGATGTGTGGGTACACTATAAAAACTAGAAATTCCAATTGCAATAGAGCAGTCTTCAATTGAATGTCAAAAGTTATCCGGGATTGCATCGATTTTGCTTTGTTGTCGCTGTGTGATTGGTCTAGAAAACTCACGTCACTCTCTTAACCAATCAGATGTAAAACGACGCAACAACACGACTTGGTCACCCGCGTTTTCCCGCGCTTTTGGCATTTGGTTTGTTTTTTAAACTTTGAGCTCTCATTGGCTAATTTCCTTTCTCCTGATTGGTCGTTGTGATTACTTTGGATTTGCTTTTACGATACTCAAGCGAAAATTAAATTGGCCAATTTTATCCCTTAAATTTTATTACCTTAGTCTCTTTCTTGGCTTATTACTTTCACACAGATCAGAGATGCCGTTGCCTTATGTGAGTATTTCTGTTGGCTGGAACAAAAGGTGAGGGTATCATCAGCTGGTTTGGTGTTTTCTTAACATAACAATTGAAGCAAATGCTTATGCGTTACAATCTATTCTGTAATGAATATGGAAATAAGTCAAATTTCTCATAACCATGATACTTCATCGTCAAGGTCCCTAAAGACGACCTCACAGAAGTCACAGGAGCAGCCAAACTAGAAGAATTTAGAAGGTGAGATGTTCCAGCCACATTACCAAGTTACTATGTGCTTGCTAACGGCCATTTTGAGACACTTAACTCCAAGCGGAACGTACAGCAGTTGTTAGGGAGACATGACAAATGGATAAATCACGTTTTGCGACTGTGTTGTTACACCATAGAGGCCTTACCTTGTATTCATAGGTAAGTCAGGGAACCTATTTTTCGCAAAGGCGAACAAATTAGTTCGACTGGCTCATGCGCCCGAAGGTCGAAAAGTTCTACGTCTTTCCCAAAGGGACTTCCTGAACTAATAGATTTTAATATTTCTCTGTTTCAGAGAGCAGGAAAACTTTGTAAGCCTGAGTTTTGAGACAATCTCCGCTGTCGGTTCCAATGGAGCAATTATCCATTACAGGTATTTCCAGCCGTCATTTAAATTTCGAGAGATTGCTATATTTCTTTTAAGATATAGCTAAGTAAATCGAGCGTCATACCAAGTGTCATTTAAAGTATTGATAGCTTATCACTGGTTCCGTACATCTACGAGGGTCGGTACACTTATTCGCTATCCTATCAACTCTGATCATTCTTTGATAGCTTTTTGACAAAACTGAATCATGTCATTACATCGTTTTGTTTTCTTCTTTTTCAGACCAGCTGAGGAAACAGACCGTATGATTTCCAAAGAAGAGTTGTACTTATGCGACTCTGGGGCTCAGTTCAAGTAATTGTCACTTTATTCAGATTCCACTTGAGCGCAGTCTTCCTCGCAGCCGTTTTTTAGGTGTCACGCTCTCTCCACTGGAACTTGTTGCGTGACGAGACCAAACAACGGCTGAAAAGGAAACTAACTAAAGCGCATTTCGATTGAGTGTACTCCAGAGAGGACACTCTTAATAGTGTAGCAGAACGCGCAGTATAAATCACTTGCCAGTATCCCATAACGAAGTGGTAACGCCAGAAACGTCAGCTTTAGAATCTTTCCTTGGTGGCCAATTCGCATCATCAACTCAGCCGGTACAACCAAATGTTCTCCAAGAAATAAGTTGGATTTTATGAACAAGAGGAATACCGAAAAAAATTATCGACTATTGCGTCTCAAAATCAACGGGTTGCCTTAACCTTAAGAACCATGACCTTTGTTTCTATCCTGTTTATTTGTTGTCATCACTACTTTTATTTGTTCTTTAGGGATGGTACCACCGATGTTACTCGCACGTGGCATTTTGGTGT